TGCTCAGTAAACATTATCATGTTTCTGACTTGCTAAAAAGTTAAAAACCAACATAGAGAAGTTTTTGCGTTTTAATCTGTTGCAAACCAACATTAGTATGTTTCTGTCTTGTTGAAACGCTGCCAACTAGCATTTTGCTTGGTTATTCCCATTTCACCAACTATCATTAGCATGTTTCTAAATGCTAGCCTTTTGCCAACTATTATGTTTCTGGCTTGCTAGCATGTTGATCACTAACATTACCATGTTCTGGCAAGCTACTGAGTCAGTAACTATCACTAGCATGTTCCTGGCTTTCTAAGGCTTCACCAACAATATTAGCATGTTTATGGCTTGCTAAGATGTTGCCCGCTAGCATGTTTCTGCCTTTCTAACATGTGGCAAACTATCAGTAGCATGTTGCTGGCATTCTAGTATGTTGCCAACTATCATTAACATGTTTCTAAATGCTAGCTTGATGCCAGCTACTATGTTCCTGGCTTGCTTGGTACTCAGTTACTAACATTAGTATGTTTCTGACTTGATAGGTAGTAAGTAACTACAATTAGCATGTTCCTGGCTTTACTGGCTAACAATACCATGTTTATACTTTGGTAGGACGTTGCCAGCCAGCATGTTTTCTGGCTTTCCAGGGGGTTGCCAACTATCATTAGCATGTTGCTGGCTTAGTAGTATATTGCCAACCACCATTAGCATGTTTCTGACCTGCTAACAAGTTGCCAACTAGTATGTTTCTGGCTTGCTAGCATTTTGACTAATACTAGCCCATTTCTGGCTTTCCAATGCATTACCAATGAACGTTAGCATGTTTCTAGCTAGCTAGCATGTTTCTAGCTAGCTAGCATGTTGCCAACTCAAATTCTTCTGCCTTACTAGTGTTTTGTTAGCTAATATTGGCTTGTTTCCCAGCTGTCCATGGTGTTCCAGTCTATTTCAGTGCACAGGGTGATGTGAATGCACCTTAAGCATTTTTTTTTTTTACAGTTAAGCTAACTAGCTAGCAACCATCCGCAACACAAACACATGGAAGATTTGGTTGGCAGCACCTGAAGCTGTTTTGTAACGCAAGAAGATTTAGACGTTGTATATTTTTTGAACAAACGCAGGCATCCTATTTTTCTGCCTTCGAACATCAAATCTTGATTCAATAAACCTGGATCAGCCGTAATCCTGGCTTAGAAAAACCTGAATCTGCCAGGTGGAGTTAAAGGTTTGTGAACGCTGTTGTCAGTCTTCGGTGTTAACACGGCTGAACCTGATGACGTTGGCGGTGGTTGAGTCGATGCTGGGATATTAGACACCTCTGCTGTTGAAGGATTTTCTGGTCACTGTGAGCGACAGCGTTTAACAGCTTCAGCGTGCCGGTCGATGGTTTGTCTGGTGGCCACTGAGCAGGTCGGACAGCTAACCCAGTTTTCTGTGTGAACTGGGTCAGAGCTGCTGATGGACCGACTCAACCTGCAGCACTTCTGTTTCTGAGAATCACTTTAATCACATTTTATTTTCGGCCTCGGCAGCAGATTCACGACGGTCCTGCTAATGTGCTCCAGACAGCAGGATCTCTGTGGGAATATTGGGGATTACATGATGCTATTTTCTTTTCTTGTTGCACATTTTTGTGCCGACATGACTTTTTTTCATGTGGAAAAAGCGGCTGCTGTGAAAAGCGTCTCCTGGTTCAGTTTAGAAGTTTTTAGAAAGCGGCCTAATAATTTAATTGAAACCTCGTGTACGCTCTCAGAGCAGCCGATTCCTTCTGCTTTTCATTCAGCAGCTGCAGCACATCGTGGCTCCGTGGCACTTCTAAATTTAACCAGCCTTTGTGTCTTTTGTTTTTTTCCAGCCAGAAGTACATAAATGCTTTGTCATGTTTACGGCCTCCAGTCCAGAACTCAGAGCCCCGGGGAGCCTCGGAGGCACCAGCATGTAATTTAAAGGCTGCTCTGACAGTTTGAGTTTCTTTGTCAACAGACATCATGAAGACAATGAAAATGTGCCGCTAACATGAACTCTGTGCTTCCAAACCTGATGTATGTTCCTCTGCAACACGGAGCTGCAATGTTCAGAAACATGACCTGAAACACTGGAGGACACGTTTGTTAGAAGTGACTCAGTGAACTTACATGCTCGTAAAAACTTCACCTAACTTGCTACCAAGAACATGCTAAAGGTAGTTGGTAACATGTTAGTAGTGCAGGAACATGCTAACGTTAGCTGGTAACTCCCTAGGAAACCAGAAACATGCTAATGTTAGTTGGTAGCAGGATTTTAAACACAAACATGCTAATGCTAGCTGCTAGCCAGTTATTAAACACAAACATGTTCGTGTTTATTGGTTGCAGGA